CCGGGCCGGCAAATCTTCTGGGTCAGGCAAAAACCAAACCCGAATCGCTAATCGAGCCAGAGGGCGCTGGGCTGTTTCGAGGGCGCAGCTGGCTAGCGGATCGGGTTAGGGGTCCGGTTAAGACTTCAGCTTCTTGTGGGCGCTCAGTGGCTGGAGACGAATTCACCAATGCTCAACCTCTCAAAGACGCGCAAGCAGGCGGCTGTCCGAATATCGAGGACCCAACCACGTTGCGCCACGTGTCCTTCGAGCTGGCCAGCTCAATAAGCACGTGGCCCTCCCGGCAGGAGCTCGTGAAGCTGTGGTGGAGGCCGGGGCAAACGAGGGGACACGTGTGGATCGATAAGAAGGTACCCCAAGCTGGGGAAGAAGCTTCGATCTCAAACGTGCGTGGTCGTCAAAACCGCGAGGGAAAGGGCAATATGGATTTCCCGTCCTATTTGCATTTTGTTCGAGGACATTTTCCGAGAAGGTTTTTGACGCCCTCTCTCTCCGTCCGGATTGCACGTTCGAGGATGCCTCGATATTACAGTTCGGGCTGGTTGCTCTCCGTTTGTGTATTGAGGCGTGCTTCTGGTCCCTTTTGCTCGATTCGCTTAGCTCCAATTGTCGCTTCCAGCCGATCAGACTCATGATTCTGGCACCAAACAAAGCAGGATTACTTTCTTGCACAGGAGGTCAAAGCAAAACGGCACGGCATCAAACAGCAGCGTCTGTCCGGTAGCATCGGAGAGCACCCGGAGATCAAGGTGGGCACTTTAGGCAGCGTCCTGTTCGAACTTGTTATCATTTTAGATCTCTTGGGGCCCAAAGTGAGCTCAGTAGCTACAACCGTCCGCTGGAATTCTGCTTGAGCTGTCCCTTTGGAAACGGCGGTCTTGTAGCTTACTCTGTCTTAAAGGAGAGGATATACCTGCCGCTTGGTGAGTGTTCAATTCATGTGTGCGAACTCGCATTCTCCAGAAATCGAAGCAACCGTTTCAGTTGCATCTCAAATTTGATAGCCCCTTTCATGTGGTCGCGGCGGATTGTCCACTGAATCTCCGTCCGCAAGTGTGCGCGAATAGTGTGCTGATATTTCAGGAGGCCGGCAGGGTCCTTCTTCATTTTCAGTGTCCTTCAATTAGAAGCGTTGCCAGTGACGTCGTGCATCCGGTGCGTGCCTAGAGACTTCCCTAGCTTGTCAAAAAAATCTGCAAAGAGGCGTGTTTCTCTGGTGAGAAAGCACAACGCTTTCAACTCAGCTACGTCAGAATTCTCTTGCAACATACTTGGATTGCAGAAAGACAGCCTTTTCCTGCCTAAACTTTCAAACGCTCCTGATCACCGACGGTAGCTTTAGCGGACAACTCCTAGCCTTCGCACACTTTCTTCGAAGCTGACAAAGTCCCCGGTTGCAAGTCTCCGAGGACGTTTCCCAGTTCCTTTCCGAAGTCGCGCGCGCAACGCCGTCCTTCTTCCTTCTGCAGATCTCAAACGCTCCTTGAATCCTGAACGGGAATCCCTCCCCGATGCCTTCAAAGCCTTGCCCTATTGCAGGTCTCCGAAGACGTGTCCCGTTTCGCCTCCTTTCCGAAAGCGCGCGCACACGCTGTCCGCATCGCGCGCGTAGTCGTGGAGGCCGCCCGGTTGGACCTCCCGGGCGTCCGCTGGTTCGTCATGGGCGATGACGACACCATCTTCTGCCTCGAGAACGTGGTGGACTTGCTCAGCAGGTGAGCTGGGCGCTGACGTCATTAGAAATATGTTTGTGACTTTCGCCGGCCAAGTGGCATAGTCAGGCATTCCGTGAGCCCAATGGATCTGACGTCCGTAATCAGGATTCTGCCGATTGGGTGGACTTGCCATGCATTCCTTTCGTGGCCTCATCTTGTTTAGTCTCTTGTGAAAGCCCTTTCGATTGCAGGGTCACCAGCGGGTCTGAGTTCCAATTGCAGGTGTTGCCCGCTTGAGGGACGGGGTTGTCAAAGACTCGGCCGTAAGACATGAGTCTTGCAAATTCTCAAAGGGAGCCAATAACTTTTTACGAGCACGGAGCGGTCTCGAGCCTTCAAGCTTCGTCGTATGCAGATTTAGCTCCTTTAGCCGGCCGCCATGAGCAGCAAACTCCCTCATGTCGTCAAGATCAGCCTTCCCCATGCGAAACACGAATGAAAGAGAATCTTATAGAACATGTTTCATTCCTAATCCTCTTCAACATTCCCATACCTCCCCCTCCATCAGGTACGACCACCGTGCGCAGCTTTATATCGGCTCCCAGTCCGAGTCGCAGTACGCCAACCTGAAGCACGGCTACGGCATCGCGTTCGGCGGCGGCGGCTTCGCGGTGAGCGCGCCGCTCGCGGCCGCCCTGCGCGCGAGCATGGACGCGTGCATCAAGCGCTACCCGGAGCTGGAGACGAGCGACATGTGGGTCGGCGCGTGCGCGGCGGAGCTGGGCGTCAGCGTGACGTCAGAGAGGGGCTTCCACCAGGTAGATCCTTATCCCTTCCCCGCGAGAACGGTCCCTTTTCTCCTGGTCTTCCTATACGATCTAAAACCGTAAGCTGCTTCTTATGTTGACTTTAAATACTCGGCTGGCCGAGGATCTTGGTCACAAAGTCCCGCCTCAAATCTGGAGGGAAGCCATCTAGGACGTTGCGCTGTTAAACGTTCGCTTCAAATTAGTGGATTATTACTTTAGGCCTTGAAACGTTAGCTCGACATTGCTTCTCAAAAGGCCGAGGTGTCCATGCAGCCCATTCATTAGACGGGGTACCCGTCTACGCTCAGGCGACCAGATCGCCTTTCACGGGGTTAGCTGGGTCCCCGAAAGCAGAGTTGGACACGATGTGTGGGCCGTCGGGTTGACGTTTTCTCAAAGGACAAGTGTGCACGAGTGTCATCGCCCTTCTTTATAGCGCCTCAAGCTTGAAAAGTACGCGCGCCTCACATTCATTCGTACGCGCGCAGATGGACCTGTACGGTGTAAACGGGTTCTTGGAGGCTCTCCCCACGACTCCGCCACTGTCGCTGCACCACCTGCCGGCAAACCCGGCGGTGTTTCCGGACATGGACCAAATGGGCGCCATACGCCGCCTGGTCAAGGTGAGGGCCTGTTCACACCGGCGGCTCTCACATGGACGGTAGTCAGTGTCTCGATGATTGGGAAGCTTTCAGAGCGTGGTTAGACCGGGAGGGAGGATTAGGAACGAGAGACAGTCGCGGCAATATGGTTGTACGCGAGCTTATCATCAGGCTTTCTTGGCGGTCCCATATCCTGGTTGGTTGTTGATTTTACATTGTTGTAGAAGATCCTCGTAGATATTCTATACGCGTTTCCAAGTCCGGGCTATCGGATGGTAAGCACACCTGTGTGGACAATAAACGCTGCGCCTACTAGGCCATAACCGCCAACTAATCTGGTATTTCCCCCAATCCCCTGGATTCTTTCTCATTTTTCTTCCTCCTGTTTCCCATCTCTTCGCATTTGCCCTCTCTTCTTCGATCTTTGTTACTCTAATTCTACCCCTGTTGGCTTCATTTCATAATCCTCCTCTCTCCCTCCGGTCCCTTTCCTCTTCTCTCCTTGTCGTTTACTTTCGATGGCGTTTCAGCTGACTTAGCTTCCGGATTCTGCGCACGCAGGGCATGGCGGCCGCGCCCGCGCTCTTCCTACAGCAGGCGCTGTGCTTCGACCCCACGCGCAACGCGACGCTGTCCGTCGCGTGGGGCTACTCCGTCAAGGTCTTCGCCGGAATCCGGTGTGTGCGCGACCTCGTGCGGCCAGCGCGGACCTTCGGCATCATGGCGTAAGCGAACTTTTAACGTTGTACAAACAAGCGACACGAATAAGGGATCTGCCAAAGGCCGTTCTATCCATGTTGAAAGAAGACTTAAGGTCCTCAAGAAGTGACTTCGTAGTGATTAATCTCGTTGTTGTCTTACTTTCTTTCTACCCAGATTTAGCGTCGCAAAAGGTCCTCGAAACCTGGGTCCGAATTGTGCTGGTCAAGTAGCGTGAGCCGTTGATGGACAGTATCGGGTGATGGGCGTCTCACCTCTTTTCGGACAGTACAAACACGATTACCGGTCAGGCGGAAAGTTGACGAAACGGGTACGACGAAGAAATCCTATGAGTCGCTGACAGTTGTTCCGCAAAATCCACAGACATTTGCTGCCTTTTGGAGCCGTGTTTGCGCCTTTGGAAAGAGTCCAAGTCTTTGTTCTGGCGAACGCAAATCTAACGCATAGGTCCGGTAAATTCTCCACGCACGGGTTCAGACGCGGCGCTCGAAAGGACTTGGGCTGCTTGGACCTTCTGGAACTAATGCTCGCGAATGGGCCCTATCATTTTAAGCCGCTCGCAAGCGTTTCGAAGCTGATGTTATCTCCAAGGCCCTCTTGCTGATAGCATATTCTGAAGCAGAATCCGGCTTCTTATCACTGCAGGCACGGGTTCGGGGACAACCCCGCCAACCTTGCGATGGACACGCGGACGCCCGAGCCGTGGGCCACGTCGCAGGTGACGTCACCTTCACACTTCCATACGTGGGCAACTTTAGACGCCACTTCGCAAAATGAAGTACCCACCACTTCGCAAACTGAAAGCGTAAACCGCTCCCTGGATATGTTCGGAAAGACTGCGGAATGAAAAGGTCTAAGCGTGAAAGAGACAGAGCAGCTCAGAAGGAGTGAGAATAGATCGAGCACCGCTGCTCCGAATCTATCTTACAGAAAAGCCGTCTAAACATTCTCACAAGGAATTGAATAATTCCTGTCATCTTGCAGTGCGGCCTTCCTTTCGTGCTCCACGTGGACAGCGTCTCCCAGATCGACGGCCAGTACGTCGAAAGCACGTACAGCCGCCACGTGGCGTCCAATCAGACCGAGTGCGCGGCCGCCATCGCGCGGCTGAATCGGGTTAGGGTCATCGCGGAGAAGACGTTTAGGCCTAAACCTGGTGGGTTAAGCAGGGGTTCCATGACCAGACGGTTGTGCTGCCATTCGATGGTCTACCAAGAAGGGACGGGGGAGATGCAGCTGGAACTGGGTCAGTGCAAACCCGGGCAAACCATTGCGACGCCCGTAACCGATCTGGGAAAGTTGCAAGTCGGCCCTCGCAACTGAGTGACAAGCGGCTTATACTTTTTTACGACGTCCGATCTGAACGTCAATCCAACCAATCTTTCTTTAGGGCGACGTCTCCTTTTGATCAGGTTGACGTAGCCTGCCGCCAGCACGCAAGGGGTCAGTGGACGGACGAGAAAAGCTTCGAGACTCGCATCATTGGCTCGGGAAACGTCGCGGCAAAGACCATTACGCGACCTTTCCGCCAGCTAGATGTTGGTCATGGTCGATTTCTTTGAAGTTGCCAAAGAGTCAAACTTGCCGCCATGCGCGAGCTCCGGCCACATGCTTAGCCAACCTGGGCGTATTATGTTCGATACGCACTAGCTCTCAGGCCGTCTTCTTAAGCAGCTCGTGAATGGCGGGTGGTCCATTGATCTATATTCGCGAACGGCCTTATTCGCAGCTGTGTGAAAAGAGTAATTGACCATGTTGCGCCTTCATGTAGCGAGAAACGCACACATATACCGAGCTAGCAGTATCATACTCCTCGAATCGAATTCAGTGCACATGCGAGAATCTTGTTGGACGTCATTGACCAGTGACCACAGGACTAGTTATCCAGCGCGCGCCGGAACTGCATTACGGAAACGTACGCTTGAAAGTGACAAGGCATGAGTGGCCGCCGACCGTTGGCCCGGTCTATGCTTATGCATGCGCTGATCAAACGATCTTTTCTGAGCAAGAGGTTTGCATGCAAAAGCGGCATGATCGCTTTTGCAGGATTTTTCGAACCCGCTCGTGCGCACGGCACATGGTTTCCCGATAAAGCGTATCATCTCATTCCATCGGTGATCACCGTGCAGGCTGTTGCCGTTTCACTCTTGCTAGATCACGTTATGGGTCATGAGAGAACGTGGGTTCCGCAAGAGTCGCGAAAGAACGTGGGGCCGACCAACAGGGTTGGAACAGCACGTTGCGGTTTGTCCATGATCTCGGGTCTACTTATCTCTCCCGAGCACCTTCTGAAAGAACTTCCCGGGCGCCGATACGATCGACTCCACTTGGTCGAACATCTCGATGATGTCAGCGTTCGGATCCTGCACGGCCGCAGCCACCGTCAGCCGCCACCTTCACGATGACTACCGTACTGCCATGGTGCTTTCGCACATAGAATCACCGCCTTTTACCCCTGGCGAGCTAATCTGCTTGGTGCGACACATCAACATTCGCAAGGAACCCTGAGGAATTCTGAGGGGCCAAAAACAGCCCATCTAGCAGGTAAACTAGGGCAAAGAAGACTGTAGATGTATTTGTGCGGAGATGCAAGAACCTTTTTATTCTTCTTACTGCGAGCTTGGGGTGCGAAAAGGGTTTGGCAGTACGGCAGAGCAGAGCCAGCTTCATGCATCGCATGACACATGTCCGTCGGTGAGTGGCAGACTCTTCAACCAGGGACCGCTGACCAGAACGCGCACGAAGTCCGTCGAAAGAATCCGAAAAACCTGCCGATGGTTCATTCTGCTGGACTCTCCGTCTGTCCAACTCCGGAATGTAACAAGCCGCGTGTCAGACAAACCCAATCGCAGCGAGACACGTGTCCTCACCTGCATTCCCCCCGACTTCGTGGGCACTCCCCTAATGGGCGCCAGCCTGTTCCGAACGGCGGTCATGGTGCTCTGAAGGATCCGCTGCTCGCCGATCCGAAGCTGACACGCCAGTCGGCCCTCGGGGCTAAGATCCTGCGGATCAAACGAACAACTAGAGTTGGGCGGCTTCGAAAAACTTGCTCCAAGAATTGAGTCTGTGTTGAGCGAGGGTTGACATAGTGCATTCTTTCTTCCCTACCTTGGAAAGGGCGTTCTCAAGAGAGAAGCAGCTCGTAATAGTGAATGCCAGGTGCGCAGCTTCAAGGTCGCCCAAAGTGGATCACCATCGACTTAGCACTGTCGGTATCTCAGTTGCTTTTGCGCACAAACCCATTGCAGCATTCTTCGTTCCTTAAAAAAGCTTGCTTCAAAGCTGAGCAAAGAAGAGAAGGCGGCATCCTTTGCGATCACAACACTCGGGTGACTCCTTCCGAATGCCACAGCTCGTCGACTGTAAATAAAGTAAGTCACTCAGTTGCAAACTCGCAAAGTCTCAAAAGCCTCAAACGCTAGCACCCTAAAACCGTAAAACCCTCGTTTATAACCTGACGCGCCGACGTACCCGCGTGTTGAGCAGGCGCATTTCGTCCTCGGTCTGGTTCTCATAGCTCTGCAGGCGCTCCCGCATGTCGGCCATGAGCAGCATCAGGATCTCGTACTCGTTCTCCTGCAAGAGGCGGAGTTTCAGGAATTCAAAGTCTGGAAATGTTCCGGATTTCGCCAACTCACTATCACAAGTGACAAGATATCGAAGTTCCGAGGTGAAAAGAGCGGAACAGAAGAGCAAAAGAAAGCTCGGCGAGATGGCAGCTTATACGGATGCAAGTCGCAGAAAGCTGCTTGCCCAATTCAAGCGCAAGCGACCTCGGTGTCGCATCAAATGTCTTTAGGATGGTGAAGAGATTGAATGCTCTGCCAAGTTTGCTGGGTTAGGCTATTCGTTCACAAACCAGAGAGTGTGGCCCTCGCGTCTCAGCAACGCAATCAAACGAGTATACTCATTTGTCTGATTTCGGAAGCCACCAATACGCAAAAACAACGTCTGAAGTTTCCCAAGCATCAACTGCTACTGATTGAGCTGATCGAGCTTCTTTCGTCGCTCAGAACAGGAGGAGGTCTTGATGGTTGAGGAGATGACGTAACCCTCAAGCACCGTAATATTTGTTTCTCACCTGGCTAACCACCATGTCTTTCTCGAAGTTGACCTTGGGGAACTGCGCCGGGTCTTGTAATCGGGACAACCGCAGGTACACTAGCAACTGCGGAGCGAAACTTCGGCGTTTACATTTCACGCTAAGAGCCCTGATCAAAATCGCAATCTCAGCTGTCGTCAAGCGTCGGAGAGAGTGCTAAAGGATACTTGTCAAGGTAGTTTCTCAGGCTCTAATGCTGTGCATTGCCTGCAGACATTGATGAAGTGGGAGAGGCCTACGAAAGAGAACCCGCTTGTCTGCACAAAAAGATCGGCGGCTGAGACTGTTCTCCACGGCGACGCAGCACCCGCCACTTCACCAATAAAATCGCCCTGCCAAGCTTCAGTCACGGCGACACACTGGCGATTGCTTTACTTGAGTGGTCGCCCTGAGAATCAGCTGCCCACCTGGGTGGGGAAACGGTTGAGGAGCAGCGGAAAGAGCTCCTTCACACCAAAGCCCGCCTGCTCGACGATCTGCTGCTTGAAGCCCATCAGGCGGTCGGTGGGAAGGAGCTCCGCGGGCTGGAAGAGGCAGTCGTTCGAGTTGTTTGGATCCACGAAACCGTAACTGCGAATGAAAAGTGCTGTAGGGGTTGATTTTGGGCCACCGAGAGGGTTCAAAAACGTTCTGTTCACTGGGCTAGAGGAAAGAACGGGCAACAAAGTAGGAAAATGACAAGCAAGTAGGAACATCTCACAGGTTGCAAGAGCTCGACGGAGGGAGGTGTAGAAGGAAGAGTCGCCGTCAAGGTCGAATAGCGGATTCTCTGCGGTCGGAACAAGAGAAAACGCCACAAGAAAGAGAGAAAGCGACGTGGCACTGACCTCAACGTCAGCATCACGTCGGCAACATGAGACTACGTCTCAACATTCAAGCAAACCCTGAAAACATGCCAGCTTCACCGGGCTCGCAAAGAGCAATGGAAACAGCCAACTGATGGCGATACACCTGGAACACATAATACGCTTTAGCTGCTTGATGGGCCCCTCTTCTTTTCGCAGGAAGCTAGGCTTCGAAGAGTCCTCACTTTATCAGCAGCTCTGAGTTCGGTTTGTCGGCCCCATACGTGACGACGACTTCGTCCCCCGGTTGGTAGTCTCGGTCGGCGGTAAGAACCACCGCGTTCTCATCGGCGGAGAAGTCTAAGGAGGCGGTGGAGTCGCTCGCGTGGTTTATGCAGTCAGCAAAGGGGACCTGCGGAGTGCAGCAAAGTGCTCTTGAAGCCTCCTCTTCGTTGAATGCGCGAAATCCGCTTTTCGTGTATTTCTTTCTGCCTTTGCTGTCCCGATGAAAATTACAGAACAGTTTTGTTGGGCACCAAAGCAGAGTGAGTCTGCTTGAAAGTTTCCATTACAAAGGGGTGAGAAGAGGGAAAGGCTTCTTACAGTGTTTAACCAGCCATGCGAGTAAGAAAGGAGAGCAAATTGAGCCGGTCAAAGGAAGCGGCAAGAGCGCCGGTCGGTCATAAGCGCGTTATTTGAAAACCATAAAGCACTCCGTTGTCTGCTCGACATCGAGAGGGATTGGCACTCTGCAAACGACTCCTCGGAAAGCGAAGGTCTTTCAGAAATCAACAGAAAACAGAAACTTGCTTGGAGGCGAGAGCGAGAAAAGGTCCCCAAATAAGACCGAAGATTAGAAGCCTCGTTGAAACCAAAGGAACCTCAATTCCGGTCAGGACGAAGCAGAAATGCAGAAGTCGTCTTAAAGTAGGGGTCGAATCTCACGTTGAAGCGAACTTCGTCGACTTGCCGTCCGGATATTTGCCGGTCGCCCTTGCTCCGTCGATGACTAAATGTGCCGTCTGTCAACAGCCAAGTCCTACTTTAGTTTTTTAAAAAGCAAAGGTAACTTTCTCACCAGAGCAAAGCAGTCCGCGGAGGGCAGGAACACAACGCGCGAGAGCACGACGGCGAACGTCTCCTTGAAGGCTTCGAAGGAGAAGAAGGGCGGCAGGAACAGCTCGGGGTCGCCCGAAAAGAACGTCGACAGCTGCGCGTATTCGGACTCCACCGCGCGCAGCCGCTCTTGGACGTCCGCTGAAATAAGCAATTTTACAGTTTCAGGCTTTTTGATTGGAGCAGATGAGACGTAGCAGGTCCGAGAAGAATGTCGACAGCTGTGCCTACTTGGACCCTACCGCAGGAGCTGCTTCCGGACGTCCGCTGAAGTAACGGGTAACACGCTGCATAATTTGAATTCCAGGACTCAGCAATCGAGGAGAAACGATGAAGCAGCTCCGAAATAATGGTCGACAAGGCGCATTGAGCGGACTCCGAGTACAACAACCACTAAGGAAATTAGGTCACAGATTTCTGAGTTCCGGGATGGAGCACTTGAGGGTAGCTACTACGAACCAGTCGAGGATTTCCCGGTGCAAATTCCAGGAGGCTCATTCACATCACGCCGTACCAGAGCTTCATAAAGAGTGAGTGTATCCACACTCATCCAGCACAGGGTTTCCTTTCGGCAGCCCGTTCTGCCGTGGGATCGTTGTAGGAAGCTCCCTCAGTCTATTTACAGGCGCATTCGAACCGTACCCAAGTAGAGCCGAATGGAGGGCTAGTGTGTTCAAACTCACCCAGGACGGGGGATCCCCTGAGCAGCTCGTTCTGCTTTTCGGACGTCCAGAGCAGGGGGCTGCGCGTCCGCTGCGGGAACATTCGGACGAACGGCCACCAGCCGGACTGCTCCCCCAGGGACCGCTCGTACATCACCCAAAGCGTCAGCCCAATGACGTCACCCCGGCCTGAGGGTGGAAGCTGAACGTGTCAGAATCAGTTGGTTTCAGAAGCTCTTGACATCGAAAATTGAGAATGTCCTTGCCCTTAAAAGAACAATCGGATTGTGAGCCTGATCAAAAAAAATCGTACGGCTCCTCGTAGCGAGTTTGCAAACGCGTGTTGCAAGCGGCAAGGTTTAGCAACATTTCTGGGGACCTCCTCTCTCTCAGAAGTTCTCCACATTTCCCTCAAAGGATGGTTACTGGTTCAACCGGGTCATGCTACATCAGTTCTGCCGCAAAGTAAATCTCCCCGACGAAACTAAACCGATCCAATCATTGCCCTGATGTTGTAAGCTGCTCTGCCCAGTATGCAAAGTAGGGGCGCTTTTCAAGCCAATGACAATCGCTGTTCCTCTTTTGCCTTCCTTCTAACCTCTGGCTGGATTCAGGGCAGAAAGTCTTCCCAGCTACTCAGCCTAGCAATCTGTCTTTAGGTGGGCCGGCTCAGAAAACAATTTAAAATCGAGAAGTCGCTTTGACAACCAGAGCAAGACCCTGGAAGTAAGTAGCCCAGACTGACTTTTGCAATCACAATCAACAAGAAACTCTCAAGAAGATAGTGCTCTTTGAGTATCTCGCAAAGGGTGAGCAGCCGAGAGTCCCTCGAAAGAACTCTCACCTTCCGCAATGTTTGCAACAACGGGGTGATTGGCCACGTCGACCCCCGTCACCGTCAAATGCTCGGGGACTTGCAACGCAACCTCGCCCTTCAGGATTACCCGCTTGGCTTTAACCCCGAGCCCTTTTGGGCCGACGTCCGCAATCTCAACAGGCTGCATAGGACGAATTACTGACGTCAGCATTAGGGGTGATGACAATTGCCGTTTGTCAAATTTGACAAGAATGATGCTCAAAAAATTCATTTCTTAGGCAGCCGAATGTGAAAAGAACTCCGTCTGATTTGCAAAGCTTTGCGTGTCTGTGAATCTTCTTCCCGCTCATACCCCAGGAGCCCAGTACTCAACCTGCCCCTCTGAAAAGAATCGACAATCCGTACTTTCCATATTCTCCTACACTCACAATGCAAACGTTACACCTCAAGGCCTTTCCAGCAGCATTGCAGAAAATTGAAAGTGGGACCTCGTACTAGACGTCAATAAGTCACGTATACTGGAAACAAGATATCAAAGAAGGTGAGTTCCACGTACTTGTTCTGGCAGCCCGCTCTCCCCTAGCCACGCCTCTAGTTCTGAGCCCCACTCCGCTTTCCGCTCGTCCACAGGCGCTTCCGTTTTCACCGCTCGCAATCTCCCAAACCTTTCTCTGCTTCTGCTGCTAGGTTCTTTCCAATGGGTTTGCAAACCCGTTCTACTAATGCTAGTCGAGGGGGACAGCACCTTAGGCTGGTTGAGAGACGCAATTGGGTTTGCGCAATGAAAGCGTGAACACTCTCTTTGGCGGTGCGAGCTGCCCGAAGCTCGCCTTCCGTGCAAATGCTGTTCGGAAGAAGCCTGAGCGCTGCGGTGGGAGTGTTGAAGTAGAGTGCGGGAAGTTGCTGCTTGCACAAAATGTTCTAAGCTGCTTCGAAATGATGGCGCACCCGAGCAGGGGCATGAAAGTTTCTCCATTAGCAGACTCGGGTCCGACAAGAACCGACCGAGCTTAGTGGCCGCCATCTTGTGACCGCTGTTCCTTGCCCCAGCGGAGAAGCCAGTAGCTTTCTTCTCCCAACCCTGATGACCTAGCGGGCTAGAGCTTGCCCTGCTGACCGGACAGCTGCTTTGCTGGACGCAGTACGTGGGATCCTCAGGCTCAAGTGCAAGGACAAGTGTGTGAGAACAAGCAGGCTCGAAATCCTGCGGAAAATGGTGTATGGGAACGGGAATGGAAATGGTAATGGTTGTGACCAGATTTCGACCGTCAGTCAAACCTCTATTTGAGAATCGGACCATTGTTCAACCGATGGCTCGAGCCCGTTTCTAAAGCAGGACAACCAGAATGATCCACGACGTACTGGAAACCAGCAACATGAGCATTCTGTGCATCGCTCTAGTTCAGGCGTCTGCTGGAAAGCTGTTCATGCAAAAGCACATCCCTCCCACATTCTGTTCCCACCAGCTCATGGAGGCGCATTGTGATGTGCAGAAGCACAAAATGAACTCACACGTGAGAAGTAGGTAGGAGGGAACACTACCTAGCTGCGAGTTTGAAGCTGGGCGCAAATCTTAAGACGTTCTGCTGGCTCTGCTGGGAGCTGTGCAAGTGTCAAGGCAATATTTTATCCCAGAAGTGCTCCTTAGTTGCATTCTCTCGGCACACTGCGCAACGTGCTCGCGTTGCGGTCATTGCTAACCCCATTGCAGAATTGCGGCTTCAGGGCGATTAGACGTCCTCAAAGCAGTCTGCAATTGGAGCTTTCCTCAAGGGCTGATCAGAGAACGGCAGCACGGATGGCGACCATCAGTCCATCGAGTGTTGGGTTAGGAAGCTTCAATGTGCCGAGTCACTCAATCTTGCATTCAGCAGCGAGGCCAGAAAATCCAGTTCAACCAACCCACACAGTTTCTCAAGCTAGGACAAAAGTTTCTAACTCCAGCTTGTTGGCGCCCATAGAACACCACATCGATCACCGGTTTGCTAGTAGCTTCTGTCCAACCATCCGCTGTGTTCAGCAAACGACAAGGTTGTTCAGAACCAATGGCCCCCGTAAGCTCTTGGTGAGGTGCCTCTCAGTGGCCAGGACTTCAGAGGCGTCCACGGAGGCGGAGGCATCCTATCATGTGCTGCCAGGTGGCGAGCAGCTGGAGGTCCTCGAGAAGAAGGCCAAAAAGACGGCTGGGGCTCCGATAGTGTTCATACACGGGTCCTACCATGCTGCGTGGTGTTGGGAGATGCACTGGATGGGCTACTTTGCGGAGCAAGGGCATGACACGTATGCCATCAGCTTGTTGGGGCAAGTGAGAAGAGCCCTTTCTGGTTAGATTTCTATTTTCTATCTCAAATTTACCAATGAACTGTGTCTTGCAGTGACCATCAATGACTCGAAACAAACTGTATCTTGCAAAGACCATCAATGAATCATATAATGGAAGCTGGGGACAGAGAAACGGAGGGAAATGGATCGCCACAGGAATGAAGCTTCTTTGTGTAAGCGATCCTGCAGCAAGCTGTTACTCTGTCTCATGTTATGGGGCTTACAGGAGGGCTGGGAGAAAGGTCTGGGGTCTGGATAAATCATGGCTAAGCAACATACTGGTGGCCTTTCAGGTTCAGTGTGAAAGGACCCAACCAGGCCCAATGTTCTTCAGTAAAGGCTGGCAGCTGTTCAGACTCTACGACTCGAAACACCTGCTGCAACTCACCACTGAGCATGGTGGAAAAACCTTTCACTCGTTCTTGACCAGGGAAACAGCACTGTGGTCGACGGCCCTGTGGGCGGGACCATCTTCTCCCATGCTGAGAACATCGCTGATGTCATCAGGGCCAGAGTTGGGGAGCGGCCCGTCTTAGTGGGCCACTCGTTCGGAGGCTTGGTCGTCCAAGCATACCTAGCAGGAGCAGCTAGTGCAGGTAGGCCCTGGTTGGGAACAATTTCAAGAGGCTATAGATGAGATGGGGCCTTTTTTGAGCTGTCATGCAGTGTAAGACTCTCAAAATCGAGTCCCTGCCACCTGTAGGCTATCCTGCAAACTACTCTGACTGCATACCCAACCCTCTGACCCTTTCCTTCCTCCATCCAACATGCTCAATGCCAATCCACCCTAAGACATCAAATCTCCTGTAAGGCCAAAAGAAAGCATTGGGGCAAGTCGCGCCGCACACAACTACGTCACTCACGAGGTGCCTGCTTGCTTCCAGGTGACGCGGCTCGAGTTTTTCCTCCGTTAGCTGGAGCCGCACTTCTATGTTCAGTGCCACCAACGGGAAACTCGTAAGCTATCTTGCCAAGCGATTCGACCCTTTCCAATCGCTTGCAAATCTGTCTGTCCGTTCAGGCCTTCTGGCAAGTCCCGTTTTCCCTCAAAGCGCCTTTTGTTGTCCCGCTCCTAGGAACTGCGTAGTTTTAAGCTTAGAAACAATCTTCTTTCCTGTTGATAATGTTTCAACGGGCCCCTCGTTGAGAGCGGGATGCCGTTCCTTGATCATATCAAGACAACTCCAGATCGTCATAGCAGCAAAACACGGCGGCTCTCCTCATTTTTCTCTTATCTCCAATGATCCCCTTTAAATCGGTTAAGGGAAGGCAGCCGCCCCCTCGAGAATTTCTGGGACTTTTATTTGCAAGGCTGAGTCCTTCCCAGACTTCGGCCAAAGGCGAGAGTGAAGTCCGTAGGAATGAAGGTTTCCGTCTTCAGCACTCGCTTTGGTAACTTTTGGTCGACACTTGGGCAGATTTCGTCCGTGCTCAGTTTCGACTTCGGCTGATACGTTAACGATTATGCCCGCAACTAGGCTGAGGCGACGCTCTGTTTGCAGGGAAATGGTAAAGCGCATCACGATGCGGACGCCCATTGCTGCTATGAAGGTGTGTTGACAAACCTCACCTGAGACCTTTGAGGACTCAGTTTCGTGACAGTTGTTCTCATTTGTTGCGTGCTCGAGCTGTTGCTCAAGTCAAATGCCGTTGTTTTCCGGACGCAAACGAGTGAAACAAGACCAACCGCAGTCAACTAGGAACAGTCAGTGGTTCTATGTGGGTTCCTCTGTTAGGGCTTCCGTTGTACAGATTTCCACTTTTCAGCACGTTCGAAAGCTTTGATTTGGGCTGCGCGGCCGGTGTAAGGCCTCTCCTGGAAGTATGAAGCCGTACCAAATCTAGATTGTGACTGCGTATTCAGCGTCATAGAAGTGCCAACGCAAAAGCATCATAGTCACTCCCAACCTGGGTGTATGTAATCTTGAAGCCTTCTTTTTCGTGCATACAAGGATGTTGTCAGGATGATGACGTGCAATTCGACCGCTATCGCGAAAGTGCATCCAACCGACCAGTACATTGCGACCGGTCATTGACGTCAGCATATGTCTTACTTGGTCGCAGCTGACGTGGAGCCTGGCCGCCAAAGGGTTCTCCAAGAACCTGCCGCTCTGCCGCGACAGCTTCTTCTCGTCGGACATGCCGGACGCTGACGTCGCCAGGTGAGCGTCCGTATCGATGTCCGAACCTCAGTAAACTTCAATGGGTGACAGACTTCGATTGGGCCGTATGCGCCGTGTAAGAGCTTTGAACAAGAGCACCGAACAGCCGCTAAATCAAAAGGAGTTGGCCAAACGCGTCTCTTTCTCAGAAACTTCAATCGGACAATGTTTTCAGAATGTAGCGCTTCCTGATAGCTTGCGGGTGACAAATGTGGCGCAGTCCCAAGAAGCCTCTGTTCGGGAGCCGCTGACTGAAAGCGCGCAGCAGTGGGTCAAATCTGCGTCGATTCTGCGTAGAAGTTCCCTTGATCGGTCCCACTCAGTATGCGACATGACATTAAACCCGGCAATTTGATTGGGCCGCGTGTCAAAAAGACCACGTGTCGATCATAGACCGGGGTCCGAGTCGCCGGAAATAGAATTTGGTGCAACGTCATTTCTTCGTCACTTCTCGACTGTCTGGGGATCGGACGGTCGAAGTGAATCAAACACTGTATCGAACGGCCATCTGGGGGCCGTTCGATAATCCTGATATCGTCTTATAACGCTCAGTACTCTCTCTTATATCTCTCCTTTTTCCTCTTTTCTTCTCTCTTTTCTGCTTTTCTCTCTTCGTTTCCCTTGTATCTCTTGGCTGTGAGTGGGGCCACACCTGTGATATCCGTCACTAGCGGTTTTGCAAACCAACTTCGACGTGCTACATTCGAAGCGTAGCTGCCAAAGATTTGTAGAGCTTCGCTTTTCCTGGCACCCGTCGAAAGCCCGTGTTAGCTCGAAACTTTCAAACTTTGACGTGCTGTTGCAGGTATCAAAAGCTCCTGGCCGGCAGCAGCAAGCAGCCGCTGATTGACCTGCGGGCAGTAAGTCGCGACCTCCCCGTGAAGAAACCGCCCGAGGGGGATCCCCCTGTACTCGTCATGGCAGCCGCGGACGATTTTGTGGTGGTAAGGCAGCGATCACCATTCTGCTTTTTGTTTCGTTCCGCCGCCGTCCGGTGTAAGACGAAGAATAAAGAGGATACTGGGCGGATCTTCTTTTCTGCGTGTCTGTTCGTCTATTGGTCTTATCCCGAACCTGATTGCGAGTCGTGGGCCAAGGCAACATTGATCGAATCTGTAATGATCGCTTCCGCTTTCATTGAAATTTACTGGAGCCAATTCACCTTTGTGGCAAATTTGAGGAGGCAGCACATGCATTTTAAGGACAAAGTGGCTAAACCTCGGTAGACGTTCGCCCGATGCATTCGACATTTCAAGGGGCATTCTCGAATTCAAGGGGTACGCTGTGAGTCATTTGGGCAGTCCTGTGAACAACAACATTTCTCTAGGATGGAAGGATTTCAATCGGTTGATTGGCCATCACCAAAATGCAGTCTGATCAAGCATATGCTTTTAATCGCGTGGCTGGTGCTTGCTTGCATCATCCCTAATTCGCCTCCCAGATTATCTTCTGTTCTTTCTTGGCGAACAGTATTGGATAATCTTGGCTTAGCGCCACACCTGCGTTTTGCACGCACCTTGCAAATGGTTCACTTTTCTTTTTGGCTTGACATTCGGGGGAAACCGATGTATACAGGACAAGGAGGGGGGTGAGGAGACGGCCGCGTTTTATGGGACGGAGGCAATCGTGATACCGAAAATTGCACACGACGTGATGCTCGACGTGCGGTGGAAGGATGCAGCAGAATACTTGTTGAATTGGTTAGGCGAGCGCGGGCTATGACAAGAAGACGTTTGTGTGAATCAGCACGAACTGCATCAGGCGTAGTAGATATTGACACTTGAGGACTATCATCCATGTTGACTACGAGGACGATGCAAGGCAGGCTGGCAGCATATTGTGTTCCAGACTTGCCAGATTAACAGCCTCCTTTAAGGAGCTCTATCTGGACAAGTAAAGCCAACAAACCTTCCTTTCTTGTGTTTGTTAAATAGGAGGTCAGAAAGTTTGATCGCGTTGATGCAACTAGAGAATTGACGGAAGAGGAGTATCCATCCTAGATGCTCGCCAAGCAGCACAGCAACTTCTCAACTTCAATGAGGTTTGGTCCGCCACTCGTCCGCTCTTGGATTTAGTGCTTAACATTAAGCAAACGTCCTTCCCAACGGCTGCGCTTGCACCCCTTGCTTGAACCGACCTAGCGGCTAGAGCAAAAACTGTGGATCTTGGACAGTGCTTGAGATTTCACAACGTGCATGTCGGCCCATGAAAATATCTATATTTTTCTCAAGTGAGTTCTTACACTTTGCTCTAGATTTGAAGGGATCCCTTGCTCAATCCGGTACATATGCACCAGTTGCATTTTGCTGCCAATAGGTCGGAACTTGGAAAGCCGTCGATCTCGAAAGCACAAGCTCGAGCACCGTCGATCAAGGATCTTTGTCGCTGGATCAAATCGTGTGGGCATTGAGTGCGTGGTAGCACATGCATGCAGCGCAGGTTGCAGCGGCCCGCCGCATTTGCGGCTACCTACATGATCTGCCAGTGCAACTTGAAGCGGCTTTTCCCACCTGGAAAGGGCAAATGTACGCAGAGAGCGCATTCCGAGGCTCATGAACGCGCATCAAAGAGCCACATAAAAGCCAGTGGCAGCAGGTATACCGTACGTTAGTCAGCAGAGCTCGAACGAAGAGGCCCTTCCCGCTTCAATCACTTGTGCACGGAGCTCGCAGCTGCCACAGCGAATCCTCGGGGCACAATGGCGCCCCGCAATGCAGCCCTTGCGTGCCTCGCCTCGCTCCTCTTAACCACTATGGTGAGCGCACAGTATGCGCCCAATGTCACCTATCAACAGCTGTACAAGTCCTTCCCCAGCAGTGCTTTCGTGTACAACCCCACTGACTCTCTGGCAGCTTCCAACAATGTGACTCAGCTCACGAATGCAGGGGGCACTTCAACTAAACGGTCGGTTAGCGAGTTCCCCGCCCTGGCAGGAAATGGGTTAGCGCAAACCGTGTTCACTTTGGGGCCCTGTGGGCTGCGCCAGCCGCACGAGCATCCCAGGGGGTCGGGCCTCCTCTATGCGATCCAGGGTGAGCAGCATTGCAGTTCTATACTTTTTTGATCGGATTGGAAAAGAATTTAAACTAGAATAACGAGGATGCTTTATAACCAATCTGACAAGTCTGGTCTGCATTCAGCTTGACTCAACTTGTCCAGATTGAGAAGGGCAGTGCATGCCTCCCAAGGAGTCCTGTCGCAGAGCCCTTCTTCCTTTCGAATTGGTTTCTTTCAGGTGATCTTATCACGGCCTTGCAGATTGGGACCAGCTTTGAGGTCAGTCTTTAGCTTTGTGCCCATGTAAAGCATAAAGCTTGAAAGATCTCACAGCCAAGAGCTTGTAGTTCCGCTTTGCAGTACAATGCTGTCAGCGTGCAGGCTCCAAGGTGAGGTGAAACCAAAGCGGAATGTGTCTGACTTCAGGGGTTTCGCATGCAAGCCCCATCTCAAAGCTGGTCAAACTTTTCACATATTTGGCAGTACACCCAGTCCCGCCACTGAGGACTTGATCAAGGTTAAGAATGCTCCAAAGTGGTTCATGGGCTAATTCAGATAAGCCAATTGTTGAAAGGACGGTGTGTATAACCGGCTGGATCTGTCAATCATCCAATTTGTTGGACACAGAGGTGCCTGGCCCTTTCCAAATCTGGGTGCTTGTCGATGTGCAGTCGAAATAGCAGGCAAACTCTCCAAGCTTGGCGGCCATTAATTTGGCGGAGTCATTCTGTGCATTTACCGTGTCTCCAAAGTAGTCGGACAAAATCTTCAAAGCCGATGAAGACCTTCTGAAGCATTCTACACTTGCTGTACAGCGACAAACCTCCAGGTCGGTTTTGTCTTGCTGGACGGGACCCAGGTGATCAACAACATCTCCACTGGGGCGTCAGCCATCTTCCCTCAAGGTGAGCACAAGTCTCGACGAGATTAAGTTTACTCTCATCAGACTCTGCGGTCTCGGCGCTGATGCTTTGCTCCTGCCTTGCTTGATCCAATCCGCCGCACTTGCGTATCAAGAAAGGGAGTCGAGTCTGTTGATCCTCTATCTAGTGACAATCTCTTTTGTCCAGCTCTGACAATATTAACCGCACGTTGATAGCTTCGATTAGGCAATCGAGTCGGATGGAAAGATCTGTCTTGGACAGCTGTCCTTGTCAACCTCCCTTCACTTCCAGAAACTGCCTGAACGAGACTCATTATGCAGAGTCCTCAAAGTCGAGAGACTGTGCCATCATAAGATTTTCACACAGAGTCCTTTCTTCCGGGTTACTACAGGGCTGGTGCACTACCAGCAGAACCTGGATTGCGCCCCCGCCAAGTACATCATCACGTACAACGACGCCGAGGCGCAGACCGTCAACTCCGTTCCCGCGCTCTTCAACCTCCCTGCCGCTGCTGTGGTGCAAGTTCTGGGTCTGACGGCAGACCAGTACGCTCAGCTGAAGAGCACCTCGGTTGACGGAAACTTTGTGCCGGGCTCAGACCCCGCGTGTATGGCGCGGTGCGGGCTTTCCCTGCCGGCCGCCCAAAAAGCAACCGGCGGTCGCTGAACGGAAATATAGCGGAAGAGGGACTTTCCTCGGATTGTTTGAGGCGACACGGCCGCGGTGACATGATGAGATGTTGGTGGGCAGGAGAAGGGGCCAGGCCTGGGGCGGCGTACAGTCGTATATTGGAAGAGCAGGCCGGCGCTGTAAACAAAGAGATAATTGACAAGCCTCGATCCAGACGCGATACATTGTCGACAAGATTGGTGATCCGCGAGTGGGAGACAGTGATCCATACGCTTGCTCTGGCTAGCTTGTCACAGCTTTCGAGCCTGCTCCTAGAAGAACAGTGGAGCCTGCACAGCGCACGCTACATAATAGGCTGCAGCTGTTCTGGCGCACTTTGGAGAATAGTGGTACGCTTCATTCGGCCATTGTGCTTTTTATTGATTTTCTGGTTCAAGCTGGTCAAGCTGGCACATCCTGTGAGAAATCGTGTCCAGGGCTAACTATAGACGATAAAGAGGGACCTCAAACCCAAATTAATGGTAAGTGACTATCATTCTTACAAATAGTTCGTCGACAGGCCATGTTGGTTTGTCTTGACCTGACACCGGCACGCTCTGGCACTGTTCGCGGCCCATGCGCATATATGCAATCAACTGGGTTTCACGTGCACGGAGCTTGCAATGTGATCCAATGCATCGGACATACACGCTTTGCATCGGGCCGCCGCACTGACACCGTCTGCATGGGCAACATGTAGAGTCTACATCCCGGCCAGATCATTGCGCATTTGATTGCATGCGGAACCTGCGGAGTTGAGTAGCTCGCCGTATACTGATGGCGCATATGCTTGAGACTGCAGCATCATGGCATGGGGGCGCTTTTATAGTTTCTACTGACGAATGATAATACGCGTCCGAACTTGATTGGTCATGTGCATAACATGTCTCACAACGAAACACCATCAATGAGAAAATAGTTCATTCATGCTTGACTAAACATTGATGCACATGCTACACGTACGTTGAAAGTTTGAAGGTGTCATATCTGTTTACGAACTAGATCGACACTTACCCATGTAGCTCAGCTGCTAACTTCGTATAGGTACTCAAATCCGAAGTGAACACTGTACATGTTCCTCTCTTCCTCACGCCTGATGACGCTCCGCAATCGAAACTATGAAACTAATAACCCGTCATCTGCAAACCCTCCAATATACTTCTCACCGTCCTGACCATTTTGAATCGTTGTGCAATTCTAAGCCTTTCGTATGGTATGTACACTAACCAAGTCAGCCAGACCTTCCGACGAGTATCACTGCAAGGAATTTGTCCAAACACCCTCACTCCACTGGCAAAAACACTTCGTTCGTCTTCAAAAACCACGGAACGAAGGGCGGATTATACCGCGCAAGCGTCGGCGTCCCGGTGACCGTCAAGCCCGCCTCTTCCAACGCTTCTCGAAGCGCCTTCTCCTTTTGCGCGGTAACTGCAAGGCAAAAACAATAACGGTGAGTAGTTAGCGCTTGAGCAGTTACCTGGGATAGAACGCAGCGTTCAGACCTTTGCGGTTTCTGTGCTTGTCCGTTCGTCGGGATCTGGTAAAAGGTTGACGCTCTTTGCTGGCTAGTGTAATCTGGTGTAATAAGGACTCAGTCCGGCATTCCACCGAATCAGGAAGCGGACCGATCCAAAAACCACCATCTATCCACACCCACAAAAAATTGTTACGGGTTGCATATATACACAACAGGCAATCTGATGAAGATGAAAGATGACGGACTTTCATCAATGCTTCCTGAATGCTCTCCACATCAGAGCAACAACAAATCATGCAAGACCGGTTTTCCCATGGGAGCAAACACAGCAACACAAACTCAGCTTAAGACTCCACAAGAAAGACTTTTGCGGAAACTTCGAAGCAGCAAACGAGACCACTCACGTCCTTCAAGTGCAAGCTTAAGCTGATTGGCAATAACTCCGCTTTGCGGCCTTATCGCAGCAGCAAAATAAGACTACTCACGTTCTTCCGTCGTATTTCCCGAAAACTTTATCACGCCCAGCTTGCGTGCGGGCAGCTCCTTGATGGACACCCGCGAGTCCTTCGGCTTTGGCGCGTTCTCCATTGTGTACTTCTCCGGTAGCACGAACTGCATGATGGACTCTTTCTTGGAGCCGGAGCTCGAGTCGGCCGTGATCACCGGTGCAGTCATAGCGATCTTTTCACCATCCACCTTGTCGCTCTGTGGGGCAACGGCAAGAAGCGTGATCAGAACAAAACTCAAACGCGAAGGCGCTTGCACAAATCTTGGAGACGCTATCAGATGGTCAGAAACTGACTGTCTTCTTGCATCTTGCTACAAATCTATGTTGCGGGGGAAGAAGAAACATCGGGATTGGTTACTGAAGGAAGATAGTGCTTCGTAAGAGACGTCAGCCTGTCTAAAAGACGGCAGTGGCTGTGACTCCTGCACACTCGTCCCGTTTGTCTCGCGGCGCGGAGGGATCAGAACAAAGGCTAAATCAAAAGGAACCACTTTCCTCCAGAGCACGTCGCCATTGCGATACGATAAACAAATACAACCCGCCTTGCTTTTCGCCCTGCTCAACTTCACAGTAAAACAAGAGGGGGAAGCAAATCCAGGTTGTGATTCGATAGAAAAGGAAAGTCGAGCAGGCATGACATTCGCATGCTGCCGGCAGCACTTATAGGAAGGCACGTTGACTGTCAAGTTCCTTACGTACGTTCCTTACGAAGGGACAGACGATATGCAAGCCGCTACGTAGGGAACTTGACAGTCGTGTCCCTTCGTTGGTGAACCCGTGACAATGGCTTGATGTGACTTGCCAGATCGAATCCCCATCGGCAAATCCTCTTCGTCTAGATTTGTGCACATCAATCGACTCCAAAGTGACCGCCAAAGAGTCAAAAAATTGTGTTAAGAATTTGTTGAAGGGTGCCGCTCAAATCGTGTTATGCCGAAGCAAACACCTCAGATATGGGCCATGTACGGAAATTTACGGACCAACCTGCACCACTTATCCAAACTGGATCGTCTCACTTGGCCAAAATAATAATCTAATTCAGCCCCGTAGCACTGAAGGCGGCCAAGCTCTATCTTAAGCCCACCCCCCCATTCTTCGGTCCGCGCAATGAGATTTGCCTGCAGTACGTTTTCTCGATGTAAGGGGCCTTACTTTCCCCGTTGTCCCGGCCACATTATCAGGCTGATTGTCTTTGAGCGGCGAGTGGACCATAAACCCACAGTTTGTGACCGGAGTGCTCACCGTCGGATCGCTGGTCTCAGTGATAACTGGCGCAGTCATCGCAATCTTCTCCCCTGACTCAGGCTTGCTCTTTGACTCATTCTCTGGGTTGCCGAAGACCCCAATGTACTTTGCCAGTGTCCTGAACGGGTCTGACTGATTCTTTCCGTAAGCCGCACCTGTGAAAACCGAAAGCTTTCCGTTGAGCAGGCTTGGCCTATGTTTGGTTAAGCGACTCTGACCCAAATGACTTGACTTCAGGCTGTCCCCTATAAGTGCCCGGCAATAGACAATCGATCCTAGTGGGTGCAATGTCGGACAATGAGATGGCGTTGCTGCCTCTCCTTACGAGTGAAGCAAGGAAGGCATACTATATTGTCAGACCGCAACAACTAGCGGTTTGCCAGTGCGAGGTACACGATTCCAATGATAAAAGAAGTCCCATTGCTATGCCGGTGGCAAAGTCAAAAGGCGTCTCCGAATTTAATTGCTGCAAGAACCTCTTTGTTTCAGCTTCCTGAGTGCCAACGGTTCTGATTGCCAACTCTCTAATGGCTCAGATTGCACTTGCGCAATCCGAAATCGGAATTATCCTTTCAATGTTCTCAAAGTCTTCCAAGCCTCAGTGCGGAACGAACAACGTCTGAAGAACTCTTTCAAGCTTGACATGCAAACAATTCAAATGCCGACGGGCAATCGCTAGTGTAACACGGTACTAGAGGCGTAAAGAAGCTCATTAGTAGTTGCGGTTGAATCATAACAAACTGGGGCTTTGTAAAGCAACGTGGCCTTACCCTCATACTTTACCTCCGCAACAACGGCTGGAGGGTATTCTCGGACTTCATAGTTGGCCCCACTTGACACCACCGTGTACTTTGGTTGCTCTACAGTGACTCTGGTAAACCAGCAAAACGTAGTCAGTGTCAAAAGCTGATTTTCTTCACCAGAACATAGCGAATCAAGTCCACCCAGTTGCTCGTAGAAGGGGCTGAAGAAGATAACAGAGTCTGCCACTTTGACATCTGTATCATCTTTTCTTGTTGAGCTTCAAGCAGAAAAATATCATTTGGGCGCAGTGGAATGAACCCAAAGGAAACTTGATTCTTCGGACTAGGATTGCATTTAGACACTGCTGATACGCTTTAATAACGACATCTTTCAAGCGCGACGATAAGCAACAAAGGAAACTCGGTTCGTAGTGCCAACTTGAAAGCCTGCACTTACGCGCAAGAGAGAAAGTGCATGCACAACTCCTGAAGAAATATGTATTGCAACGCGTCGACCATGCAAAAATCTCATGTTCCATATAGACACCCACCTTCCCAAAACCAGGCCCATTTTGCCTGCAGACCGTAAAGATCAGGTAACACTTTGAATCTGCTGGCCAGAAAATGGAGCTTTCCTTCAGAGTAAGCTAAAAATCCTTCGAAGTAAGCTGAGAGAGGGAGACTTCAGAAATGCAACAGATCTTCGGACACCTGATCGCTGAGAAGCGCTCGCTTTTCGTGGAGACTGAGCAGGAGCCCAGGGCCACAATGCAGACAATGATGGCGGCATGCAGCCAGGTGCTGGGTACGGACCTGGGTACGTATCCAAAGCAGTCGTGGTCATATCTCAGCCGTCCAAGTGAGTGCTCATTAGCAAGTCGCAGGCACTGGAGCAAGAGGCACAAAGTTGCTGAATAAATTTTGGTAGAATCGGACGCGGTACTCGACGGTTCGGACGTGGGCGGACACTCGAACCTGGTCGGGTAGCCTCAGAGCACACTAAAAACCTAAGACCAATGGCTCTGCCGTTAGTGGGAACCCTAATCGTGGAGCAGTCACAGGGAAGGAATGTAACCCTAACAAACCGTCACAGGGAAGGGGCGTAACCCTAACACACAGTCAGTGCTTTGTGACTTGACCCTAAGGCTAGTACGAGTGCCCGGTTGAAGTCGTGGTACTAGGTCCGGTACTCGTACAAATTCCTGGCGGTGGGTACCGTTCCGATCAATCGACGGTCTCGATCGTCCGTCTCCAACTCTACCAAAATTTATTCGGGAACTTTGTCCGTTTTGCGGCACTGGACGGACGACAAGCCATGCCATGATATCCAGGTTGAGGAAATCCGAAAAGGGCACTGACAACCAGTTTAAACTTAAAGCCGTTGATGTCCTTTTAGCTGTGCCCATCGACGCTAAGTAAACAACGACAAACCAGCTCCACAAACCCAGTACAGAGTGAGCCCCTGCTGGGCTATAGTTTGGGGTTTGCACTGAAAACCTGACCCGATGGCCTCCTGTGCAAGTGGCTGGTTTCGGTCAGCTGAAGAATAGGAAGAAAGGAGATGGCGTGCATTTGCTGCGTCGCCATTGGCTAGGCAGGACAAAGACGAGGACGCTGTCTTTTGTCCACCATCGTATAGCATCTTGGCAGGCTTGTTGCAAGTTTTGTAAGTGTATTACAAAATCTCGCTTGTTTTGGTACCCTGGCAGGCATACCTGTTCATAGATTCAAATGGTTCCAACTGCTGGGCAACTGAAATGAGGGGGTCTCGTATAAGCCCTTTGCAAGGTTGGAGTGGCTCATCTTGCGCGCGCATGCCAGTCAACTAGTTCGATGGTGGAAAATCCAGGAAAAGGTGACTTCGCTGCCTAAAGCTTGATTGTGCTGCTTTACGGCGGCCAGCAAGCATGAAACCCTCGTCAGATCAACAGACCAGCCAGGTCAATGATGAGATCATGGAGAATGGAAGCTCAGCTGCTCAACTCCAGACCAGCGGTGATGAATTGCAGCTGCTCGACTCAGTGGAGAAAAAGAAGCCCGGCCTCAACAGCTATGTCCTGGCATGTGCATTGCTTGCATCACTCAGTTCCGCATTGTTGGGATACGGTAAGCGACCCGATCAAACTCTTAGAGGATGTGCTGCTGCCTTCTTTGCAAACCTCGCTGCATTTGGCTGCTGGAGCTCCAGTTCTCAGATAGCTTCGCATGAATGTCGCAACATTGTCAGAAGACGATTGAGCTCTGAAGTGACATATGGATTTAGAGTGGAAGATACTTGACCAAATTTGATGATACTGACCCCTTTTAATGACCTCTCCCTTACTCAAGTCAGAAAAGTTGGAGAAGACAGTAGCTTCGATCTCACTGATTTATCAACTTCAGGTGCAATTTTCTTTTGGGTGCACTCCCCTTTGACATCCTTGACGCTTCTCTTTGCTTTACCTGAACCAACCATGGACAACCTGCAGACATTGGGGTCATGAGCGGAGCAGTTCTCTTCGTGGAAGAGGAGATGAAGATCAAGACGTTCCAGAAGGAGCTGCTGGTCGGCTCCCTCAACCTGGTGTCGCTACTAGGCGGAGCCTTTGCTGGACGTCTCTCCGATTACATTGGGAGAAAAGGTGAGAAAAGCTCACTGCTGCTTGTACATGCCAAAGTGTCTGGGTTAAGGACTTCTTGTCAGTATCTGTGACAGAACTACTGTAGAGGAGTTCTAAAACCCTGATACCCTTCTGTGACAAGTCCGCTAAGCCTAGATGACCCTTGTTTGACAGATCTGCTTTGCCTGGTTGAGTCGCCAATCATGTCTCCGAGCAGATTTTCGCTTCAAATCAAACTTATCTAGATTAAGCGGATTATCTCCAAGTCAAAGCATACAGCTGCGAAGTGTCCCTTCTGATCTGTATCACAATTATTCAGATCAGCAGAATCTTTGCAAGTCAAAGCATACAGCTGTGACGGTTGAGATCTCCGTAGCTTGTAGATCGCCGTATTAATCAAAATCAAAACCACACCAAAACTTGGAAAAAGTGGTGGCCACCAGTGGTGCTTGAAGTTGTCCTGCAGACCTTGAGTTCAGGTGACCAGTTTCCATACTTGCCAGCCCCAGGGACAACGCTGAATTTACTGGACCCGTCCATCTGACTTGTGAACCAATTACCATGTTGATTGAAGCTCCACGACCATGGACGGAACCTGTTAACTACCAAAGCGGACAGCTTCCCTGCTCACATTCAGATCAATGAAGTGAACAATAACATCGGTGAAATATGAGCTGACAATGCTGGGACAGTTGGACCTTCTTAGGGTGGGTATGGGAGCCGAGCGCGTGAATCTTTGGGTTTCTTTAGTCAGTTTGAGGCTTATTCTTCACTGCTCAAGCTTTTTAATCACAGGTCCGAACATTGCCCTGCTCACTCTCGCTTTTGCTTCCTGCAGGTGGCATGGCCACAGCAGCCGCACTCTTCCTGGTCGGCGCTCTCTCCATGGCAGCCGCTCCGACCTATGGCATACTCCTGGTGGGGCGTCTCATCACTGGGTTGGGAGTTGGCGCCGCGCTGCTGATCGCCCCTCTTTACACCGCTGAGCTGGCACCAACGGGGGTGCGAGGCGCTCTCGTGTCTCTTACGGTAAGTCTAGTCAAATTTGCGAACCCAAGGACCGTTGAAAGGCCTAGGGAAGGGTTGCTCTAGGGAGCTTTTGGTTGGTTTGTATTTAAAGCCCCTAGCGGGTTATGATACCTTTTAAGGGCAACGAGTATCTCGATTGCATCCAGACTCTGCAAGTTTAAACGTTTCTGCAGCTGCTGAAATATCCGTTTCTTGCAATAAGAACCGACTCAGGTATATTTTCAGAGATCGAAACAAGTCGTCATTCTGTTTGACAGTGCAATGAAGTCCATCTGTGAGTAGCGGCTTCCAAGTTTCCGCTAGCGCTTCCCACATCGTGGACACTTGGGCTTAGGTTGTCATTACAGCACTGTAAACATTCACCGCTGTAACGGATTCAAATTGGTCCTTACGACAGTCTCAGTGCCCTTCCCGAATCCTGTTCGAGCATCAAATCCATTCAAGTACTTTGATTTCAGAAAACTCCAACCGGAACTCTCTCTTCTTCCGTTAACTTCCCGTATACCATTAGGCATCCTGACCAGGCACTTTAGCAATTGAGCCTCCCCCTTGAGATCGTCTTAGCACCCGGACAGATCCCCAACTCCCGCCCTTCGCAGGAGGTCTTCATCAACGTAGGGATCCTGCTCGGCTACATCGCCTCGTACGCGCTCTCCGGCCTCCCCGCCAGCTCGGCCTGGCGCTGGATGGTCGGTCTCGGGGCAGTCCCCGCATTCTTCCTCGGGGCCGGCGCGCTCTTCATGCCCGAGAGCCCCCGCTGGCTCGTCATGCGCGGGCGGCTGCCGCAGGCGCTCCGGGTGCTCCTGCTGACGTCATCCGGGGACCGCGACGACGCCGACGCGCGGCTTGCGGAGATTGTGGCGTCGGTGCAGGGGAGGGGGGTGGGGAGTGAAGCGCGGCTGGCGAGGAAGGAGTCGGGGCAGCAGGAAGAGCAGAGCGCGGCTCCGCTGCGAGCGACGGCGGCGCGGAGTCGACGGGGGTCGGCCGACGAGCGGAACGGCAAGGGAAGGAAAGGAGCGGAAAGCAACGAGCGGAATGGGAAGGAAGGGAAAGGAGCGGAACTCGAGGGCGAACGAGGGGCGGTGCGCAAGCAACCTGAGCTCGAGCAGAAGAAAGCGGAGGAGATCGCGCGCCTGCAGCGGGTCGGCGCGCAGCCCGCGTTCTCCGGGAAGGGCAGTCGGGCAACGGAATCCGGCGCCGGAAAAAACACCAGAACGCACACGGGGTCGCCTTTTATGGAGCCGCACGAGGGGACGGACGCGCTGGCTCGAGGAGATCTAGACGCAGCGGAGGGGCTGGAGGAGTTGGTCACAGAGCGGGGCGGCGGAGGGAGTGGTGTGTGGCGGGATCTGATGCTGCACCCTACACCGGTGGTCAAGCGGATGCTGCTCATCGGGCTGGGGTCCAACTTCTTCCAGCAGGTGAAGTGGCTTCCTGAACTCGCTTTCTCCCATTCTTTTCGTTTGCCGAGCCGATCGGTCGCCAGTCCATGGCTTCCCTTCTCGAACTTGCTCCATGACCTCGAAAGAAGCGGGCAGCTAACATTTTCAGCGATCCGTGGCAGTCGCAAACCTTGCTGGCCGTTAGGAAAAGGGACTCATCTGATATCCCTGAGACATGGACAATGTGCAACGTCGACTGCCCTCACCCCTTCGTTCGCCGGGAGTTCGACCGGACCAGCGTGCTCAAAAGCTCGTCACCTTCAATTCAGCGAAACGTCTAAGCTAACTCGCTACCTTGTTTTCCAGGCGACTGGTGTGGACGCCATTGTATATTACGCTCCAGCCGTCTTCGCCCTCGCCGGAATCAACACCCGCGCGGGCGTCCTCGCCTCCACCATCGTGGTCGGGGCGGCCAAGGCCGGTTTCGTTTTGGTCGCCGTTTTCCTCTTGGACCGGGGCTGGGGAAGGCGACCACTCCTCCTCATGAGCGCGGTCGGTTGCACCGTATCCCTCCTAACCCTCGCCATCGGTTTCATGCTCCTCGGGGGCGGCATGAACGACACCCATACGGCCCATGCTCCATCCCCCGGTTCCGCCGTTCCGGTCGGGCAGGACGGAACGGGGTTCCTCCGGTCGCTCGCGCCGGTGCTGGCTGTGACTGCCACGTGTGCGTACATGGCGTTCTTCTCGGCTGGGCTTGGGCCGGTGAACTGGGTTCTGGTTAGCGAGATCTTCCCGTCAAGGCTTCGAGCGCAGGCCATGGGGCTCGCGACCGTTGTAAACCGCACGATCAGCGGCACTGTCTCCCTCACTTTCCTCAGCCTCGCGGAAGCAATCACCGCGGCAGGCACGTTTTTGCTCTTTGCGCTGATCGGGCTCGCATCCGTGGCGTTCTTCTATTACGTGGTGCCGGAGACGCGGGGGAAGAGCTTAGAGGAGATAGAGAAGATGCTCGCGCAGAAGGACGGCCCAGAAACGGAAGTTGCTAACGCTCCGACGGAAAAGCAATCGTGGTTAAGTAGACTGTACCAAAGGATCACAGGAATGTTTGCTCGAGGGTATTCCGAGGTAGGAGATGCGGGACAGGACGATAGCGTGAACGGGACCGATGAAGATCAGACGCCCGTCAAGAAGGATACCGGTGATACCCGCCGCATCAATAGGTTAGCAGCAGCTTCGGAGCAGGCAGAGGCTAGGTTAAGCTTGCGGGACAAAGTCAAGGCGATCGCACTGCGTAAAGAAAACGTTGGTCCATCGGAATCGAGTAGGATGTTAGATGACCTGTAAATCTCGTAAATGCACGCCGCGCGCTGTGATTTGATTCTGATCAGCTATCGATTGTAGCTGATCAACTATATTTAACGAGCTTGCCCCGCCTGATTGCTGTCCCATGTTCAGCATCAATACATGCCGGCGGGTCTGAGGACCAGCTCCCTGGCCATGTTCGTCATATCTTATGAATCCACACCCTCATGTGAAACGTTGGTGAAGTCGCGATGAGGGAGCCCTAGGTCAGCTTGATGGATGCATGTGGATTGGCGCACCTTGAGCAAACATATACATGTGCAACGCGTTGCATCAATGATGAGGGATGGGAGTCTACGCACGGTTAACTGAGTGAAAAAATGGCCACGGAGCCAAGACTCGAGACCAACTTCGGAGGTAACGGAATTGACAATGGCTGCCTACACCAGGCCCCACCAGGCAAGATGTTTGCAAGACAAGTGCAATGTGCACAGTTACACCAGGCCCCACCAGGCAAGATGTTTGCAAGACAAGTGCAGTGTGCACAGTTAACCAAATCTCATTCTGTTTGAAGATCTGAAAAACTGGTGTTAAGTGCATTACAGGCCAGGCTGCGGAGAGTTTGGGGGCCTTGCCAGCAGCCTGATACAATGTTGCTGGAGGCTCTCTTCACAAGGCCTTCCTGGTGCTTCCGCACCCCAAGCAAGGCCCCTTGGGTCCCCCCAGAGGGCCCTGACGCAAGCTGGCACCTGGTAGTCTGCTGTGCACATTGCACACAAGGGCTGAAGGGCAGGGGGATCATCCCTGGCAGGGGGCGGCTGGGCTCTAATTAGGGAGGCTTCCCAAGGTCTGAGATTGACGCCATTGGCACTGGAGGGTCCTTGATGTTCAAGAAGCATGCCTGGAGATGGCAGGGGGATGGCAGCAGAGGTGGACTGGCATACAGCCTTTCCAATCTTGGAGAAAGGTATAGGAGAGGGTTGGCGGGCCTTTGTATTTCTTTTTCTACGCCTCAGCGGACCAAGTGCTTTAAAGCTTGCTGCCACGTCACTTCCACCATAGCCCCCCACAAAAGGGGCACAAAAGCCCGCACAAAAGGTCCGATTCTGGAGCTTTTTGAGTTGGCTGAAAGCTTTCAAGGGCCTGTAGATGCTACGCTTGGCGAGAAGAATGCTAATTTTTAACGCCTCCTCCTGCTACCAATGTCAGACTCCCAGCAAGAATTTGCACTTTTGTCACAAGAGCTGTTGAACCAAAGGCTTCATAATTTTTCTGACATTATGACATACTACTCTTTCAATTCCCGACCTCCGTGACCAGCTCGAGGTCAGAGCCAAAAGACTGAATAGCAACACTGCAGACACTGCCGCCGTCCTGCAAGCTGACAGGGGTCCGCTGTTCTCAAGATTTACATAATAGCGAGCTGGAACTTGCAAGTTCGGAGCTAGCAAGGGGGCCGTCAGATCGGAAGTTGCGACCCATGGATCTGCTTCCCCAGTTGGGGGATTCCCCGGTAGTGCAACCTGCCACTGAGGTGTCCTCCGCCTCCCTCGAGTTTTCACTGCATGAACGAGGTTGCCTGGCACCAGTCACGCGACTCACGGCGTCACCCTGCTCCTGCGGTGAGGAAGACACCTCAAACATTGCTTTCTTGCAATGTCATTGTGAGATACAGAGAGACTCGAAGGGCAACCATTTTAGAATCTGTTAAGGTCTCTAAGAAGGCAACCATTGATCGTCAAAACTGTCAAGGACTTTAATCTCTGCTCTATTGGCATTGCACCACAATGATGGAGGCATACCCCTACGAGATCCTGCCTGGACTGTGGATTGGCAATGCAGACGTGGCAAAGGCGGATGACACTCGCCACCAATATTCGCACGTGCTGAATATGGCAGCTGGATTGGAACCGCTGCCTTACGAGCAGCAGCAGTATTTGCACATAAAGCTCGAAGACTTGGATGACATCACCCCTCACCTGGACACGATCTACGCTTTCGTGTCCAGCGGGATGGACCATTCCGGTTCTGTTTTGGTGCATTGCGCAATGGGGAAGAATAGGTCGGCAGCTGCGTGTTTAGCGGTGCTTGCCAAGAGGAGGAAAATCAGCACACAGAAAGCTCTCAAGTATCTGCAGAGCAAAGCGCCGTTCGCAAGGCCTGCGCTTTGGTTCCAACAGCAGGTAGCAGCGTGGTTGGGGGAGTCCTCCCCTGCTGACGGGGCGCTGGCTAAGTTCAAGCAGCGGCTTCAACTGCGCAAGTCTGGGAATGCTGTAGATCCTATGCAGTTGTACTACCAGCAAGTAATGAGCCAACGCCAGAAGTCAAATAGCTCAGGGGAACAGGATAATAGCTCAGGTGAAAAGGATACAAGTTCAATTGTAGATTCGACAATGTTAGACTCTTAGCTGCCATAGGACATGTCGGTTCCTGTCTAACCTCTCTGGCAATTGATTGTTCGAACTCTAGTGCAAGTTGTACGTCACAAACACACAGGCACGTCCCTATCCATGACAGTTATGGTGTAAGGATGTTGTATTTGAAAGCCTCATTGGATGGCAAGAGTGCAAGTTGCTCCGCTGAGTCCTTATGGTCTGTCTCAATCAACACTTTCTCTTCTAAAGATACTTGTGGCAACTTGCAAAGGAAGGTATACTCACTGTTCCAAAGCTCTTTTCGAAGCGTTTGAACATTGACACGCTTGTGGAGTGCCTCTCGAGTTCCGTCGACATATCGCACTCAGTTCCTCGCAGGTGAGTCCTTTTAACAACCACTTTCTGCATCCATCTTCTGTCTGCGCACAAGTTCTTTCAGCACTTTAGCTGCCTTTTCTGTAAACGGAAGTGCTGAGCCAGCGCCCATGATCATGTATCAAACTTGTGTGCACTGCTTTCGATGTTACTTATATGATCGTTTGGTTGACAATCCTGAGATTATCTTGGGTTTCGTTTGGGTTGTGTGTGCAGGACACGCTCACGCAACAGTGGAAGCAATGGAAAAAGCAGGCAATTATGGAGGTAAGGTGCAGCTGGTGGCTCTTCCCAATACCATTCGGTAGCTGCAGCTGATCGTGTGCAGTCCGTGTGCAGAACAACGGCTCAGGTTGAGCAAGTAGGCATAGGGACAGGTTACACTTTCTGCCGGTATGTCAAGACTGCCCGTTATGTAATGAGCACATTTGGTGCAATCGTTAGCAGTTTGGCGGCAGTTTAGTGTTTGAAAGTGTTGAGGTTCAGCTCCTTGATTGGCTTGCTTTGTGTTTCAAGTACGACTTGAGGAGCTACATCTTGCTTTTAAGAGAGGACGGAAAGGGCGGAGCTGCAGGATGGACGGTCCATGAGCTCAGCGCATTGCTCATATTGGCGTAGCATGGCGCTCGCTAAGGAAGTAGGGGTTGTTATGTGGAGTTGAGTGCTTTCTTGGACACGGTACAGCAAACAATGCATATGGGTGCCAGACGGAAGGAGGTATTAGTCACTTATTCATTGATAGAGTTAATGTCTTGGTAGCTAGGAAGAGTCCCTTTTACCTGCCTTGAGCACAGTTGTGCTTCGTATGCATGATCACGCACTAGGGCCCCCTCTCACCTCCCACTTGTGCGTGTGCGGCAGATACCAGCTCGTGAACGGGCTGGAGCAGGTGTTGTACGACGTCTTCTCGCAGCACCTCGGCGTGGCGCGTGCCGCCACTGCAGCCATGCGCCTTGGAAACAATTTCCTGGGATCGGTGAGCCCCCCCCCGTTTCTGTACATACATCCGGCCAAGAATGGCTTACATAATCTATGTACTTCTGGTCAGCGCAAGCGCCCAGGCATTTCTTGCAACTGCCTCCTTGTGTGCAGCCCGGGCGGGGTGCCTGGCCGGGCCGCTGCTGACCGTGACGTGTTGTCTTTCGGCATGTGCAGCTCAACTACGTATGGCCTGCCCAGGCGACTCAGCTGGCCGTTCCCCGCTCGGAAGCTGGCTGCGCCCGTAGCCTGATTGGGCCGCTTGCAGCGAGGGGGTCGCGGGCCTGCTTTTGACCGAAGGGGACGAATCCGACTGATTGCAAGTATGCGGAATGGCGAAGGGAGGGAGGAGGACGGACGGAAGCCGATGGAGACGGAACGG